AAAGAACAAGATGAGAGGTCCAATTGAGGTCTACAATTTTGAATTTGAAGTTTCTCTGTAGTATTGCAGTTACTGGGAGAGAGTTGCCAGAGGTTGGCCAGAGGGCCGAGGCGGAAAATGGTCGGATCAAAAGCTTGGGAAAGATCCACGTGACTGACTAAGTATTCACGCTTCTCTCCTCACGTCTTCCTCGGCGCCCCAGGCGCCCGCATCCTGGGACCAATCACCCCACCCTTCACGCGGCCTGGTCTATATCCTGTGACTGGCTGAGTCTTGAAGCCTATTCCGCCCATTTCGTGGGTTCCCGTCATCCGTGGTTCTCAGCAAGTTCTCAGGCTGCTTATCAGCCGCTGCTAGGAGCCGTCAATCTCATTTGGATGGCAAACTACCTGATCTCCGTCGTGTCCTCCTTTTGGAGACATGGCGTCTTCCGCTTCATTGACTGACCCGCCGGCGGCAATCTTACAACCCCCGGACGCACTAAGCTAGCTCCAAGTCTCAATGATTGCTGCAATATTCATTTCCAGGCTCCTCCTCCGGCAACGGCTACTCCCGCGACGCAGCACACCGTGCCACACAGTTTGCCATCCCGGCCCATCATGTGGCTCCAGGCCAAGAAGTATCATGATCCTGATTCCACTGAATTACCTGTCGTCGGGGCCCACATCGTTCCAGATTTTCGCAGTCAAGGCACACGCGTCGGAATGGCGGAAATACCGTCACGTCTAATTGAATTAATTGATATAAGCATCTCGGTGTCTATCGCTGGCCCACTTTCTTTCTCCCCCACCACCATGGGTTCCCCACATATCTTGCTCGAGTCACTGGACAGCGAGATTGCGGCTACGTGCGTCGTCCGTCTCTCCTCGTCTCGCATGGCCAAAGCCTTATCCGCGCCCCAGCGTTGGTCCGGTGGTCAGTCATCTACCACATCCACTCACTCCTCATCGATTTACATCCGCCCGGTAGTTCATAGCCAGCATCCTGAACTGGATGTTCTTCGGGACACTCGTCACGCAAACGTGTCTGTCCACTCACTCCCGTCAGCGCCCCCGTTCGGCGCTAACCCGCGCCACTCGCAGACACGTACTACCAAAAATTCCCATCCGACAAGCTCGGCGTGCGCTTTCTCGGTGCGTAGCCATCCATCCTCTCCGCTCCCTTTTCACATGTGAACCCTCATTCCTCGCAGTGTACATGCTCTTCGTCCTTGACTTCGCACAAACCGTGATGCTCACACACCACGGTTGGTGGTGCATCGTATCGAGTTGGGGCAAAGCGCAGATCTTTGAGGATCTCGTCTGGTCAGCGGGGATGATCTCCTTCATGTCAGGGCTAGGTGTGTGGATCCTCTCCATTCCCTTCTCCGTACACGTAACTTGATGCTGCACAGTTGGTGGTATAGTCCAGATATTCTATGCGTTGTAAGACGGCCTCGGCTTCCCTCGAGAATCGCTCACCACTAGTGCTCCAGCCGCATCTGGAAATTGGCGGACAGCATATTCCTACGAGTTATTGCTATCATCGTGGTAGTGGTGAGTTATCAATCCGCTCTCGCTCGCCCAAATATCTGACAAAAGCTCAAACGCAGCTCGCTCTAACGGAGAGCGTCACCGCTATGGTTAGCGGCATGCTGGTGCGTTACCTCGCCCGTTTGTGGATCACACTTAGAATTAAATTCAGCTGCTTCACCCGCCGAACGTGAACAACCTCATTCGACTACATCCCGGATTCGCGGTGCGCCCACTCTGCCATCCCTTTCTGCACAAGTAATGATAAATAAATTTAACCCAGACGTGGCTAGCAGCCAGCCTAGCAGACGACATCCTCATCGCTTCGTCCATGACCTACATCGTGCATATCATAGCTCATCTCATTCACCTCTTCTCATTGTTTCTGACGATTTCCTATAGCTGGCAAGCGCACGAAAGAAGGCGACCTGGGATCGATCCGAAACTCTTCTCACACGACTCATCAACAGGGTAATCACCACCGGAACAGCTACAGCGCTCTCCGCTGCCGTCGAACTCGGTCTGTTTCTCGGGTACCCTACAGCGAATTATCACGTCGTTCCGTGCGTGCAACCATATGGCCTTCTTCCACTCGACTCTGAACTCTATCTACGCGCAGGGCGTACATCCTCGGCAAATTCTACTCCAACAGCCTAATGCTCACTCTAAACCTCCGCCGCCCCAACCGCCAACTGCACTCCGACCGCATCATCTCCGACTCCCTCCCCATGCACACGAGTCGCAATCAAGCTCAGTCCGCCCTGGTATTCGCAGCAACAACAGACACGATGGCCGGTACCGGGAGGCTGTCAACAGGCTTCGGGGGTGTACACGAAACTTCTGTGTATGAGGAAGAGAGGAAATGGGTGCCTGCGGTGAGTTCTGGATCTGTGCATTGAGAGCGGAGAGGGCTGACATGACACTTTCCAACAGGGTCCGCATGAACGAGAACATCGAGTTGAGATGGCAGGTTCCGACCCAGATCCGGAAACGGAAAGAGGGGAAGAGGTGCTGTGATTTCCAGTCCCTCGGAGAGTGTACGATTTTTGGGTGTAGGTATGTAAGATTAGCAAGATAAGAAGAAGACGATGTGGAACATCATGGCGGCGCGGGGCGAGGCGCATCTGATGCGTCGCTTGATCATGATGGCGCAACGCGAAGAGCGACTCATGAAACGTCCTGGACATCACATGGGGTTGAATGTTGAATGTTTGAACGTTGACACTGAATGAGAATTCAAATTGCGCGGCTCGCCCAACGTCGGTGTTTACCCACCTTTCTATGGCTCCGACGTCGACGTACGTCTCGGAGCCTCGAAAAGTCTAGACAATATGTACCCATCTCGGTGCATGTCATTGTCTGCGTGGAGATTGGCATCAGGAGTGATGCCCAGCCAATGTCCCGAGGCTCGAAACTTGGTCGAAATCGAGGTACCAAACTATCGGTTCCCACACTCGGGAGTGCTTGGGAGCGCACAAATTGACTGGAAAATTAAGAGAAGATTGTCAAGGCTACGAGGGGAAAATAATCCGAAGCCGGTTGGGAGCCGGAGGGAATGTCAGGTCGACTTTGAGCGTCGCCGGGAGTCGTCATTCAAATCAACGCCCAATCAGCCACCGGTTACGCCCATGACAGACAGGCTGTGGGTATTTCTCCGGGACCAAAACAAGCCATAGCCACGCCTCTCTTTACGCTTCCACCCTTCTCCCATTCTCACTTTCCTCGCGCTAGACGCCCTCCCGGCTGGACGCCTCTTGCTTTTCTCTTTTGTTGCTAGCTCAACGCCCCACTTCGCTCTTTTGATACTCCTTCTACTGCCAATCATGCGTTCTCAAGCATTCCTGCTCCTCTTGACTGCATCTGCCAGCGTCACCGTATTTGGGTCTCCCATCGTCCGTCCCCTCCCGCGTGCCCTCTCCACGACCATCTCCCCGAACGTCAAGTGCGCGTCGACAGACAAGGCTGGGTCGCCCCTCGTCGGGAGCTCTGCCATCACCGACGGAAGTTTCGCCGAGTGCGATTACAAGGGGGCGGGACCGTGTCAATTCTTTGCTGCGGTGCGCAGAGTTTCTCTTACTATTCTCGTGTGCTGTTATGCGAACACAATATATGCAGGACGGGGCCTTTAGTTCCGGGTCCAGTGACTGCCCCGCTGGTATTGCACAGGATCCGACCTTTGGGCAGGGTTCACAAGAGACGACCACATCCACTACATCCACTACGTGCGTCTCCTTCGTCGAGTTTAAATTGATTTCTGACGCATTGGACATTCAGTGCAAAGGCGAAACAGACTAAAGCAGCGCCGCCGCCGCCTCCTCCGCCTCCTCCTCCTCCTCCGCCGCCGCCGCCGTCCATGCAGATGACTACGTCCGTTCTACCCCAGAAAGTGTGACCACTACTCACAGAATACCCAGGATGATGAGAGAGAAGACGAAAGAGATGATGCCTCCGCCCATGATGACCGAGACGTGCGTGTTCGAGTATCCTGACATTCTTGCCGTGTTTCCGAACCATCGAATAGCATGATGACTATGGACAAGGGCATGATGACCATGGACAAGGGCATGATGACCATGAACAGGGGCATGATGACCATGGACAGGGGCATGATGACCACGGACAAAGGGATGGGTATGGGCATTATGACAATGGACCAGGGGATGACCATGGAGATGCCGCCGCCGATGGCCATGACCACCTCGACGACGTGCGTCCTCTTTCTTCCTTTTCCCATCCGCCAACCTATTTGATTTCAATCTCTCAGCATGATGATGGACCAGCCGCCTCAGCCTCAGCAAACGCAGGCTCCTCCTCCGCCAGCAGATGCAGGCTCAAACCCGAGCGCGGCCCCAAATGGTCTAATCACCCACGCAGTCTCCTACGTCCCCATCGCGAGCGCAGTTCCAGCTCCTCCTCCCGCCCCGTCGTCCTCTTCTTCCGACCCCGTGCCCGAGTCTCCTCAGAACGCCGGCGCGAACAACGCTCCCGCCCCGGCAGTCATCACTCACCCGGTAACCTTCGTCCCAGTTCCCAGCGGCCTCACTCTCGGCGCTCAAGCTTCGCAAGCCCCAGCTGTCGCCGCTGCAGACAACGCTAGCACCGCTCCGAATAATGCGGCCGGTCAGACGCGAGCTGCCCCCGTCCTCCTTGTTCTGGTAGCCGTCGTGGCTGGATTTGTCGGAGTGTTGTGAGATCGAAATTCAGCGGATTATTGTATTATTTGGACTACTACTCCAGTATACAGAACGCTGTGCAGACTGTAGTGAATTTCACGTATGTAAAGAGACTTCGTGAAAAATGAGTGAACACAAGTTACCCAGTTCGATCGACGAGCACGGTCGCAAGATTAATGTTGGTCCCCGTTCCATGATTTATTGGGTAGCCTAAGAGAAAAATGCAGAGAAGGCGATGATTGAGGTGTGCTAGAAGGCACGCACCAAAGGGTGAATTTGGAATGCCGAGAAGGAATTTGATAAAAGTCAAAAAAAGGACCCTCGCCGGGATTTGAACCCGGGACCCCGTGCATTGAATGATATGACCCAAAGCACGTATCATTCTACTAGACCACGAGAGCGAGGTGAAAGGGGAGGTCGTGCACCGGCCACATACTACTGTCGATGCACATGATATCTGATCCTACTCTTAGTTCCTCACACACTTTTGCCCAGCCTTCAATTTCCAGGTAACGGTACACATGCTGAGGTAATACTGCCTCGATCCAAAAGTGAAAGTCCTACTAGCGAAGCTTCACTCTTTCACCCTCGGAGGTCTTGGTCTGGCACACGTCAACGTTAACTCATACTGGACCGGTCCCTTTCTGTTGCCATTCAGCAGCCTATCCGTCGCTGTCAATCAATTTGGACTTTGAGCTATGAGCGACATGACCCTCGATCACACAACTGCGTACAATGCCCACGAGTGTTCCTCCATAGAACTGACTAACAAGAACTTTCTAATGTATAGGAGTCGGAACACACGTCGCCTCCCTAAGCTCCTGCACTTTATCCATCTCGTTGATGCCCGCAGGAACCTCCCGGGCCAACTCCACCAACCCATCTCGCATCCACATTGGTATCACACATCCAACCAGCCTCTCCGCGGCATCATGAAATACAAACACATGCAGGTGCATCCGACCCCCGCTCGCAGCCGCCTGCTCCAACCGACTCACCAGCACTGGACCAGAAATTTGAGCAGAGGACCAAAGGCTGGGTCCTGCAGGACGAAACATTGGACGCCGATCTTGCCATCCCCACAGCGGATTACAACCACGGGTTGGCTTTCTGGGTACTGGTGCAGGAGGGTGCAGGAGTAATAGCTCGCTGAGGAGGACAGTCATGAGATTCGCCTCGTATCCGAGGTCCATGATAGTTCGTATGAGCGACCGGTCGCTTGAGTTGACCGGATCCGGGTTTTCTCTATGTAGGCGGCTACTTAGAATTTTATGGCCATGATACGATGACACGTACGTATTGCATGCAATCGAATCGCACTGCATCTGTGCCGATGTCCCCGAAGCCAATCCAAACTCTGGCAGTGCACAGAAGAGTAAATTGTGCTCTCGCAGCTCGCGCAGCACTTGAACTCCCTCTCGAGAGCGATCTCCTGCTTGAGCCAACAATCGCCCTAAATCAGGTCGAAACGGCTCCGTTGTCGGGATGACCATGAGTGCAGCGGTCTAACGAATTTTGTGAGGAGTCGTGCAAAATCTGCGAGAGGACCACCGTATCCCTCCACGAGATCGTCGCTGTGCTCCCGATTGGAGAGGTCCCTGCCTTTCAGAATCAAATGCGTAACGCCTTCGAATCCGGGAACTGTATTCCGGGTCTCCATTGGTCCTTGCGTGAAAGAAGGACCCAGGCCCTACCCACGAAGGCGCGCAGCTCGGGGACTGCGTTGATATTGTCGGTCATGGTCTCCCAACGCTCATGGAGCGTGTGGATGAGGTTGAGGATGGTTATATGAGTCCGAAGCAAGCGCACGAGTGAGTGATAACATTACCCATAAGTATCCCGATCTCGCACCTCGTTGGGTCGGTACGGCGGGTCCCCCAAGTTCGGCATGCAATAATCATACTTGATTATGAGCTTGCACCACTTCCACAGCCCGGGCCACATCTCGAGCTCGGCCTCCCGTGGGAGTTCGTGGATGTTTATGATACCTTGCACTGCGGCATAGGCCATGACGACGGGTTGCGTGTTCTCCAGTACCTCGCATCGCTCTATCTGCTCGGCGGCGGCGTAGCCCAGGTGAGCATAGAAAGCAGGGAGGAACAGTCGATTGAGGAATTGTGGTTTTGATGCGCCATAATCAAGCAACTGCAAGAGGTCGTCCAAGAAGCCATTCAAGGCGACGGATGCAGTTTTCTGTGGACGACAGGTGTGATCCCAGGAGGAACTACTCGTGGCTACTTAGTGTTACCCGAAAGGCCGTTGGGAGAAGTTGTAAACTAGAGGGACTCAACGAAGGATGCATTTGAGAAGAATCAGCCGATGTCGTGGCCGCATCAGACTTTTGACATCTAGCTTGTGACCTTGTACAAGGTCATTCAAGCCCGCAAGTGCCCGCCAAATCTGCGCAAGCCCGCAAGCTCACAAGCCAGGTCCTGAAACTTGCAAGGTCCCTCGTTCGACTCCCATCGGACCACACAGATTTATTTCCTTCGACCCTGGATCTGACTGGTACATGCTTCCATTGCCTCTCAGTGTATCTCCTCCATCACTAATACCTTTTTTCAGCCCCACTTTCAACCATTTCCGGGATTTTAACCCTCGCTTTGACCTTGCGAGCTTGTGCCACAAGCTGCCAAGCCCAAAAAGGTCGCAAGATCTTTGTCAAAAGACTGATGCGGGAGAGAGCAGACAAGATGATGTGATGCCGTGATTGGCAATAGTGATCGATGATATCACCATCACTGCCACTTCCCCTTCGGACTCGTTCCCCGAGTGGGAATTAATATTAAAGCAGTGACTTTGGGCATGGACAGTTACTATTGATCAGAAAGCAGAACAAGCTGAGTCTACCAAAAAAAAAAGAAGAAACACCGACTCCGAGTCGAGTAGCTTTAAGTTGAAAGGTTTGTGAAAGGTAAATGAAACATTTATGTTCTTCTGGAGTGTCTGCTGGTGCCTTTGTTACGTGACGGTTTCTAGTCCTCATGAGTGCTCGTATACCAGCGATGAAAGAAAATAAACAAACTACGCGAAAAAGAACTGTCGAGTAGCAAACGATACTCGGAAGCTAGCCAAGTTCTGTCAGAGCATGTTGAGCTGACTTGCCAGAGCACTCACCCGGAATCTTCCCTCTCCGTTTATCTTCGATGAACTCATCGACCTGCGCCCACAGCTCATCAACCTGGGGCGTCCAAGCCTTCGTCGAAAAGCCTTCTCTCCCACGCGTCAAGTCACTGGCAGCCGGCAGAGCTACGACCCTATCATCGTCCCAGGGAAAGGCCTGGATTTCTTGACGCGCCCGGATTCGTGCCGGCGAGGGCTCGTTGTCCTCGAGCAGGACGATGACAAAGGCGCGGATATGCGGTGCGCCTGCGAGGATACGTTGTCCCGCGGACGGAAGGAGGGGATGGATGACGGCGAGATGCGTGAGAGCTGGAAGCTTGAGAATCTTACTCCACTGGCTCTCCCTTTCCAATTCGTAGCCCTCGTTGGGGGGCGGGTCGGAGGGGAGGCGTAAAACACGGTTCAGCTCCCCGATGACGAGGTGTGTGACGTTCCTGAAGAATAGACGCTTGAAATCGGGCATGGGCTCCTCCAAACCGGAAATTACAAAGGCTCGCGTGGGTCGGCAGTCGGCGAGTGAGGAGAGAATGGGTTTGGACTCTAGATCCCCAATGATAAGGAGACTCCGAATGTTAGGGCCGCATGCGCTGAGAACACGCTTGAGATCGTCGTCGGCCCAGACTTTTTCGGAGCTTCCGCGAAAGAGTTCCAAATTGATGATCTCGACATCTCGCACGGCGGAGGAGAAGAATTGTAGGGGTCTGTCCCCGGCTTGGAGTCGTTCCAGCATCCGACTACCAGACATGCGCCGATATGCTTTGCTGCGGTCGTCATATATGATTATTGGGATGACCTGGTACAGGAGAGGCTCGATCCTAAGACGAGTCAGCTGGGAACGTTCTGGGCCATGCACAGCGGCACACCATTCATGCACGCGCTTTGCGAGGAGGAGCAGTGTCGGTATCCTGCCAGGGTAGCGCAATGCAGCGGTCTCGAAGATTAAACGTTCCAGCTCGGGTGGGAGGCTCACAGAGGGAGAGCAATCCGGCGACATGGTGGGAGAAGCGGAGATGTATAGCACCGCCTTGTGGCAACTTGATCCGGATGCGGCATGCTGCCAACCCGAGATCTCAGTTGGATCCCAGCAGGCAAATACATTATTATAGCAGATATTAAAGCAGCAGTGGACGTCCAAATCATATATGACGAACAACATCCCACTCTGGTGCCGAGCTCGGACCAGTGACAGGCTCCGCAACCGCCACACCTTCAACTTCCTCCTTTTTGATCAATTCCGCCTTTTGCGTTCTCAGGCCCATCCCAACCGTGCTCTCAGTCCGATTGAAACTCGAAGTCTCCAGTTGTGTGTAGTTACCATGGCCGAGATGATCCGATTCCGTTCCCTGGGTTGATTCGACGGTAAGATCGACAATGGTCGTCAAACAGAATGAAGGTGGGACTTGTGTGGCCCGCTGAGCGGCGGATGAGGAATCGGAGGCGGGCATGCGACTAGCTCGGATGGCGCGGAGGAAGGTGTTGGAGGTGCAATCGGCACTTCACCAACTAATTAGTAAGTGGGAAAAGAAAGGACATATACGGACACGGACACGGAGAAATATGGACTTTGTAAGATACCGGCCTGCGGCGCAGCATTGGATTTGGTATATATACGATGTGGCTTGCGAGCTCAAGCCCCAGACGCTGTACTTCGTTGTACAAGATCAATACAGTTGTACATTCACTTTTCAACAGAAGGCCTGTAAATAGTGGTTTCATCATTCAATGACGTGCCACACAAAAACCGAAATCGAGGCACCGGGTCTGTTGCAGCCATCATACTGTACACGAGCGGCCGTCCGGTGTATATCATGACACCTTTGGTTCGGGGCTTGTAAGGTAGAGGTCATAGCGCGAAAGAAATAAACGGACCAACCAGCCTAACTAGCGCACCATTCTGTGGAGGTTGAAAACTCGTGCTTCAATGGCGGAGAGGGCATCACTTACAGGAACTGGCGCCGCCTGCTCCCGGAGTTGGTAAACTGAAAATACTGAGCTGGTTACGCTCATCAAACACGATACCAATGGGTATAGTCCTTGTTGGTCAAATCAGTTCCCTAGGCCGGGCACCACCTGGAGCACTTTACCTATGCGCAGAATGATCCCTCGCAGCTTCACAATTGTAAGCCGCGTGCTGCCCCGTGCTTGTGACTCTGAATCTGGGGAATGCCTAGCAACTGTCCAGCTAGAGTCGAACTATTCAAATAGATACTCGATACTTATCGGGATTGCCAACGAATAGTGTTACGGTAATGAAGCAAACGCACCGTGAATGGCAGCA